ATTGAAAACGTGGTCAAAGACTTCCTCGGCATTCAAGATATTCAAGTGATTCCTTCGCAACCTTTGCCTCAAATCACCAAAAGTTTGTCCAAAACTAATTCAAAGAGTAGTTTAAAAAGCGATGAGAACTTTGATATGAAGATTAAGATAAAAGAGGAACCGATTGAACTGAAACCATGTCTGCCATCGAGCGATGACTCCTCTCAACCAATGGATATCGAATCCAATTCTAACTCTTCTGTCGATTATAAGGACAAAGAAGTGAAGTTAGAGAATGAGATGAATGAAGACAATCATGACGTCGATTGTTGGCCAACACCTCCGAAGCCAGAAATGCTTACTCCAGAGCGACAGACCATTGAATGTCAGAAAACTAGTGATGAATTACAATGCGATGACAAAAGCGAAAGCAATGACTTTAGAGATTGTATTAAACAAAACGAATCATTTCTAATAAACAAGAGTTTTATGAGAGAACTGAAGAGCGATATCATTGGCGACACAATTGCTGCTGATATGAGAGCAAAGGATAACTTACAGACAGACATAGAGGTTAAGACTGAAGAGTCGGACTTTTCAGATGTGAGTTCTGTTCACACCAGCGATTTGTCTGATTTCGATGACGAGATCTCTTTAGACGATTCCAACGACGAAAGTAAAGACAATAAGAAGAATAAGATTAGTTTAAAAGTTGTCAAAAAGATTACTGAAGTTCTGTCTAACGAACAAATTGGTGATCAAAACGTCAAGAGTAACCAAAACGCGTCAAAACAGGTCTCTTCTGACGAACAGAACATTAAAACCGATATTAAAAGTGAATCAAAAAGAATTCGCAAAATTAATCCAAAATATTCTTCGAAAGAGTTTTCGTCCATTTTCACTGAGAAAGACGTCTCACTTCCCACCACTTCCAGAGAAGAGGCCGACGAATCCCATAATAGGCCTCTCAAGACTCAAACTGAAAGCATTCACAGAATGAGTTCCAGAAGGAGAAGACACTCTAATTGTTCGGAAAGTGATGGCAAAGAATCCAATGAATTGAGTGCTAATCGAAGCTCTAAAGTAGCAAAGAGACTCGAAGAGCTTCCCGTAGAATCGAGATGTTCTTCAAGAGGTTCTATTGAGAGCTCATTGTCTGAAACAACTCAAGACTCGACACAATCATTAAATAGACCCAAAAGACAACCCAATAAACAAAGGTTCGTTAGAATAACTCTAGTTTTGTTATCACATTAAATACCATTAAATTTATGACATTCTCTGTATAGAAATGAAAGTCAGGGCCAGAGATACGACGCCTCAGACCTGTATAAACCGCGACGTCTTATGCCATCGCGAAGACGAGGTCAGACAACTCCCGATTCCAGTACACAATCCAATGAAGACTTTTTTATTCATGATTTATCAAAACAATGAGATTTCATTTGTATATATCTTACATAAAAAGTAAATGCTTTCAAAACGAGTAAAAGTTAATAATATTTGTGTAAATAAGTTGAGAATATTAAGTCTCTTCGGGCACTAAAGTGATGGAAAGTTTAATGTCTTTCCAGTGAAATGTTTTCGGCAAATCTGTCTGTAATTGAAAGCAATTTGAGAATTGAATCATTAGTATTGAATTGATTTGTAAATACCGTATCATTGAGTGACAACTCATCCAAATCTATTAGCATGCGATCGATGTAATCGTTAGGAATGAGCACTTGAAGCCATGGCCCGCGAATCGCATACCTTTCACTCAATGAGACGAACGATCCCGAGACCGATGGCGTCACTAAAGTTATGGCTAAGTCTCCGATTATGCTCTTGAATGTGAAGTGTCGGTCGTGTTTAAGTCGACCACTGATTGCATAATGAAATCAAATTATAATAATGGCATTGAATAGCTTTCAAATAATACTGACCGGAGAGCTAATGGCAACAAAAGTCCGGCCTCTAAGTTGAAGCGTAAGTTAAGGCACTTTAAGTATTTAGTTTGGATCAGTTCTCCCGGTTCTGGTGCACCCGTTTCGCTGGCAAAAGACATTCGCGAATTGCATTGGTTTTGTTGGTCGTGAGAGACAGACATCGAAGAACTGCAACTATTTCTGCTTTGGGAGTACTTATGAGGGCTGGAAAGCATTCCATTCCGTTTGTTATGCTCTCCATTCGTGATCTTCTCATCTGAATTATGAGAGTCCGAGTCATTGCCGTTGTCTTCGTTCTCGGGTTCGCTGTGTTTGTCGTCACTCGAGACCGAGTCTTCACTCCAATCGCATCGAGCGCTCACTCCACTCAAGTTCGAGCCCTGAGTGGCGATCCCGTCGTCGACAGCTTCTTGGAGTTCGGGCTCGAGTTCAAAGATGGTCTCTCCTCTTCGCATGTCTGTCACTAACCACTGGCCGCCCGCACCCGACACTGACTTCATTAAGTCGATAACTCCGGGTCCGTTCCACTGTTGGGCGGCCTGTAGTTCCTCTAAACACACGCCAACTATTTGGATAAAAGTGACGGAACCAAATGGGGTCAGAGTCTGTCCCAATTGCGGGTCTTCTGTCATAAGCATGTGTTGTATTCGCGATTCGCTGTTATCGAGAGAGCAGTGCCACGAGACGTGATCGCCGCCGCACAACAGGTTCTCCGATTGAAACACATATTTGGCCAACGCTTGCATCACAGCCGCCGGCCATAAGGGCGCTGTCGTCTCTTCCGGTTCCCTCTTCAGGCGAAATGTCAACTCAAACCCAAAACCGCTCGGAGTTTGAGATCCGGTTATTCTTTCAAACAAAATGATATTTTTGTCAAAAATGGTCACCAATTCGTGACAGCGTTTCTATATCTCACTCGTGAACTCTTCCGTCTCCGTGAAGATCACTTAATCCAAAGCTAATGTAATGCCAATGCGGCGGGACATTGATCGACGGGTCACCACAATTGGCGTACATCGAGATGTAGTCCAGAGGGTCGGGTCCGCCCAACCTATGGTCACAACAATGTCATTAACAATGAGATAATGAGAGGACAATAAATGTGTTCAATATTTACCAATACTTGAGGAGAGCGTTGACTTGCAATGGATTGGGTTGTGTCGGGTATGCCCTCAAACAGGTCTCGTACAGAGCCTGAAGACCAGGAGATAGTGGCGGAGGGTTTGCGTGGTTTGGATGCGGCTGTGAAGCCATTGTTGTGTTCACCAAACCATTAACCAAACCATTCGCCCCATAAGTGGCCGACAAGTATTGGTCTCTCGACTCTTGCATTGCCTCACAATTAGTGTTTCAAACAAACCATTAATTGAATCGAAAACAATGTTTCAAATCATTTGTCAATCAATTCAATGATTAATGCATTCATTCATTCTTTACGCAAATGTTTATGTTTTTGGTATTTATCTCTCAAATCACATCAAATCTAAACTATTTTCGACAATAATTATGACATTTATTATACATTATAACAACTCTTCGTTTATCTATAATAAAAGGCATTTAATTATTTAAAACTCACATTTATGTTGTGTTGTCATGTATTTCACGAATATAAACGTAAATAGCATTAAATAGTAATCAAATTGTAGTGAATTAGTAGTGAATTGAATGCGAGATTTGATTGAATTTTGGGACATAAGTGATGGACAATGAGTTGAGAGGATTGGAGTGAAAGCACACGAATTGAACGATTGTTTGTATGCTTTTGAGTGTAGAGTCTGTAGTGAATGAGATGTGCTGTGAATGTGGTGTTAGTCTATGAATATAGTGAATACAAACTGTAATCATAATAATAACTGTTTTCTAACATAACATCAATTGAAATGATTGTGTTTTGAAATTCATTGCATTTTCCCATTAATTAGTGGCAAATATTTTAATCACAATTTAGTACTGCTTTTCATTTGGCAAACATTTAATAGCCATTGCTTTGCGATAACAAGCGTTTGAATCGACTTTTAATTGCAATTATTTTTTGGTCCAAACAATCGATAAATGACTGGATTTTTGTGGAAATTAAAAATTTCACGAATGCTTTGAATTGAAGTGCCTTTAAGTTCACACAATTGTATCATTATTTCGCAATTATCTACCATTTAATGACATTTTGACCGTTGATTGGCTTTGAAATCGATTGAAGACATGTCTGAAGAGCTGGTAATATGAATGCAATGCATGTAATGAGTGGTGAACTGATGGGTGATGTCTTGTGCAGGAATTGGCTCAACTGGAACTGTTGTGCAAACAGTTATATTCGGCCACCGATTCGAGTGAACGCAATAAAGCGGAGACCACTTTAGCGCTGTTGACGTCTTCGCCGACCTGTCTCTCCAAATGTCAACTTCTCTTAGAGAGAGGAGATGTAAAACACACGACACACGCATAGAGTCTATGTTCGTCACCACTAATGCCATTGTCTTGTCTTTGCAGTCCTCTTACGCGCAACTGTTGGCCGCAACCACTCTAACCAAACTCGTGACCAGAAATCCCAACATATTATCACTTCAACAACGATTGGATATAAGGAATTATATATTGAATTATTTGGCATCGCGTCCCAAATTAGCACCATTTGTGACACAGGCTTTGGTCCAACTCTTCGCTCGCATCACAAAACTCGGATGGTTTGAGTCCGACAAAGAAGAGTTTGTCTTCAGGAATGTCATCCCACAAGTCAGACCTTTCCTACAGGTCTACCATTTATTAGACATGCATTTTGTTTGCTCTCATAATTAATAAATTGTCATTATTTAGGGATCCGTTGATTATTGTATAGTCGGAGTCCAACTATTATCTCAACTCACGTGTGAAATAAAGTGAGTTTTTAATGTTAATGAATATATTGTAATGATTTATGAATTGTTATAAAATCAGTCAAATCAGTGGTTCGGATGCGAGCCGTTCGATAACAAAGCAACGAAAGATCGCCTCTTCATTCAGAGATAACCATTTGTACGAAACGTTTCAATTGGCACACGATTTGTTGAGACGAGCGCTTCAGAGCTGGAAAAGCACTAAATTCATTGATGAGACTCAACAGACTTTGGTCAGCAATCTTCTACGGCTGGCACTCAATTGTCTTTCCTTTGACTTCATCGGCACGTCTCCGGACGAGTCTTCAGATGATTTGTCGTGTGAGTTATCTCTGACCAGCAGTCCGTAAAATCTAGACGTTATACTTATATCTGCATTAATGTGTGTAATAGGTGTGCAAATCCCTACGAGTTGGAGACCAGCTTTTCTTGACTTCAATACATTACAACTTTTCTTTGATCTCTTCCATTGTTTGCCACAATCTTTGGCCCCAATTGTAAGCACCTCTTCGATGATTGCTTTAAACATTAATTATGAAATTGATTTATTGAATGTCAGGCCCTCTCCTGTTTGGTTCAGTTCGCGTCCGTTCGCCGCTCTTTGTTTAATAACACAGAAAGAGCCAAATTTCTTATGCAACTCGTGTCTGGCGTTCGCAATATCTTAGAGAACCCGTCGGGTCTGTCAGATCCCGGATGTTATCACGAGTTTTGTCGGCTTTTAGCTCGTCTTAAGTCAAACTATCAATTGAGTGAATTAGTCAAAGTAGAAGGATATCCAGAAACTATAGCTTTAATCACAAAGTTTACGGTAACAAGTCTTCAGGTATGTTGTGTTGAATTGTCTTATTGTCTGAAACATGACTAACGAGACTGTATATGACGGGCAGATGTGGCAGTTCGCGCCCAACTCTATTCACTATCTGTTGAGTTTATGGCAACGAATGGTTGCATCCGTTCCTTACGTCAAGGCTTCTGAACCGCATTTACTCGAGACCTATACGCCAGAAGTGACTCGAGCTTACATTACATCCCGATTGGAATCAGTTAGTGATGTGGTTAGGAATGGTTTGGAGGACCCGTTTGATGACATAGGGATGGTTCAGCAACAGTTGGACCAATTGTCTACTATAGCCCGGTGTGAATATGAAAAGACCTGTTCCCTAATTGTGCAGCTCTTTGACCAATCGGCTCAAGCATATCAAGAACTGTTGCAAACGTCAGTCCTCTCGCAGATAGACGTCAACATACAAGAGGGTCGCCTAACGTGGTTAGTGTACATCATTGGTGCGGCCATTGGGGGCAGAATATTCCTCAACAGCACTGATGAACACGACGCCATGGATGGAGAACTTGCCTTTCGTGTACTCCAACTCATGAATTTCACTGATGCCCGACTCGCACAGGTATTGCCTCACATTATACGCTAATATCAATGTTAATACAGTATAACTATAATGATCAACAATTGTCTCATCAATGATGATAATGATTGCCATCATTGAATTAAATGCATTGGAATCGATATGTGTTTTATTAAAATGTCTTAATATTGTAATGAAAGGGAGGTTCGTGTAAAAAGCTGGAACTGGCAATGCTTTCGTTCTTCGAACAGTTCCGTAAGATCTATGTCGGAGATCAGGTCCAGAAGACATCAAAGGTTTACAGACGACTATCCGAAGTGTTGGGTCTCACCGAAGAAACTATGGTTTTAAGTGTTTTTGTTAGAAAAATGTATGTATTTTTATTCTTACAGTTAGTTTTCATAATGGAATGTAAAATGAATTGTTTATTGTTTTGTTAAAGAATTACAAATTTAAAGTATTGGGGAAACAGTGATCTAATTGTGACAAAAACACTTCAAATACTCAATGACTTATCTGTCGGCTATAGTAGTGTCAGAAAACTGGTTAAATTAGAAGAAGTGCAGTTCATTCTCAACAACCATACGGTTAGCTTAATCTCTATTATGGACATGTATTGAGTAATACTAACAATAACTATATAATGTGTGGACAGAGCGAACACTTCCCGTTTTTAGGCAGTTCTGCACAAATTAATGATATGCGCTGTCGATCAACGCTTTACACGTCTTTGGGTCGACTCCTTATGATAGATCTCGGAGAAGATGAGGAAAAGTTTCTCAATTTTATGAATAGTTTGACGGGTAAGACATTAGTTAATCAATTAATTGCTTTCTCAGCCAATTTATCGTTTATTTAAAGCCGCTTTCGATGCGTTGGCACAGCTCCTGAAGTCTAACTCCATGTTTAATGTTGACGAAGCAAAGGTCTGGATTAAATTAGACCCAAAACTGTTACTTAATTAAACATTGATTTCATAGAAAGCACTGATCGGTTTGGCGCGAGATCTCAGAGGTTTAGCGTTTGCCTTCAATACTAAGACAAGTTTTATGATGTTATTTGAATGGATGTAAGAATTATTTTGAATAAGTTTTGTCGATTCAAAATTGGGTGAATCTTATACTTGTATGTAATAGATATCCGGCGTATACACCAATACTTCACTCGGCAATTGAGCTCTGGTATCACGACCCACAAGTGACAACACCTGTCCTCAAATTGATGGCAGAATTGGTCCAAAACAGGTCTCAAAGACTACAGTTTGACGTCTCGTCTCCAAACGGAATATTACTTTTCCGCGAAACGAGTCGAATGGTTGTTAATTATGGCACTCGTATTCTCACTCTCGGAGATATACCTAAAGACCAAATCTATCCATTGAAATATCCTTTTCATCGTTATTTAATTCCTATCTATTGTTAACATCTGTTGTTTTCCTTAATTCTGTTGTATTGTTGTCTTTACGCTCAAAGGGATATCGATATGTTTTTCAATGCTTAAGTCAGCTCTTTGTGGCGGTTATGTAAACTTCGGTGTCTTTCACTTGTATGGCGACACAGCACTGGACGACGCACTCAACACTTTTATTAATTTATTGTTATCAATACCTCAAACAGATTTATTGGTAATATTACTGTCATATTAGATGTCATGTTATAAACTAATTGTGTGTTTTGTGCAGAATTACCCGAAACTGAGTCAAACCTATTATGTATTGTTGGAGTGCTTAGCACAGGATCACATGAACTTTTTGGCCAATTTAGAGCCCAATGTCTTTCTCTATATCCTGTCGTCGATATCTGAGGGTCTGAACGCTTTGGACACAATGGTGTGCACCGGTTGTTGCGCAACACTCGACCACATCGTCACCTATTTGTTCAAATGGTTGTCAAAGACGACTAAAAAGCCGAAGCAAACGGGTTTAGTGCGTGAAAGTGAAACGTGTCTCAAAGTACTGGAACTACAGCCAGAAATACTCCAACAAATGCTGTCAACCATTTTGAATATAATTATGTTCGAGGACTGCAGGAACCAGTGGTCAATGAGTCGACCCCTTCTGGGACTCATTCTGTTGAATGAGGAGTATTTCAATCAATTGAGACAAAGCATTATAAGTCAACAGCCGTCTGACAAACAGTCTTCGATGGCCCAGTGGTTCGACAATCTGATGGAAGGCATTGAACGGAGTCTACTTACCAAAAATCGTGACCGGTTTGTACCCACACATCGCCCACACCTCTCACCACACCTTTCAATACTAATGATGACAATTGCTCTCAATTATAGGTTTACTCAGAATTTGTCTGTATTTCGACGCGATATCAACGACTCGCTGAAAGGGCCGGCTTTGGCCAACTCTTGTGCCACTATTGGCGGCTCAGCTGACAATATGATGAGTTGAGCCAAAGCTCACATCAACTACTTGTAAATTATTTATTTTTGTAACTCTTCTAAAAATGTATTGTTTTTTTAAATGAAAAGTAGAATAAAAATTAATTTTTTTAAAAATAATTCATTTATCAGTGAAAACGGTTTTATTAAAACAATTATAATATAGTTTACATTCAATGGACTATTGATTTGACAGACAATATGTAGAAAATGAGATGAAATTCGAGAGTTGTTTGTCTTGAGTTAAAAATTTCTTAAATAATAATTGGAATGATTTTTAATAGAAGTGATGTTTAGTTGAACTAAGAATTGAAAATTAATTGAAAAAAATACAAAATGGATTAAAACTGAAACTATGCCTAAAAATTACAAAATTAAACTGATTTGACAATCTTATCGTTGATTAATACAATTATTAATTAAAAGCATTATATATATTAATAATCAGTGGTTATGAGGCAATAAAAGAATATGACGGCCGAGAGGGCGAGTTCAGGCTTTTAGGGGTCGGAGCCGGCGGTTCGGGACTCAGGAAATCCCATATAAGTATAGTGTCGTCGTGTGAAGAGCTCACGATTTGGAACTCATCGAACTGTAGCCGAAATACTCTACCCGTGTGTTCAACAAGAGTTCGCAAACACAGCGTACCGTTGGGTGAGCGCGGGTCCAACGCTGCCGCCAAATCCCATACTTTTATTTTACTGTTCATTCAATTGTTCGTTAGTTTTTCATATCATTTCAATACTATTATCATTAGACCGTCGATTCGTCGGCAATTCCCAAATTATGTTACTTAATATAATCGATCACTATTTACTCAAAAACTACATTCAAACACTTTATATAAACTTTAATTTGTCATCAAATGTGGGTGTTTTGAATGCCGACAAATAGACGCTCTAATTATGATATAATCAAATGTGTAAAACAAACCCATCATAAGCTCCGCTAACTATACGTTTGTTATCAAATCGAATACAACGGACCAGTTCTTCGTGTCCGTCCAATACTCGCAAACACGTCCCGCACTCGATGTCCCACAATCTGCCATACATTTCAATCATCATTATATCAATGTTTTGGTATCAACTAAGTTTACTAATGCAGCTCAAGTGAACTACCAATTCGCTTCTCTCTCTCTCTCTCTCTCTCTAAACTCAATTTTAAATAATACCGTAATAATAAAGAATACAATCAAAAATATGTGACAATTTGTATGTTTTAACAAATAGTAAGAGCAATAGAAATGAAATAAATTATAACAACTATTTTAGCTTTAATTTAACAAAAATTTCTATAGAAGTTATACTATGTATGACAGCGTTCAGAAAAAATTTTCATATATCCCATAACTTTAGATTTTTTTAGAACTACAATTTTTTCCTCGCTTTTAAAAAAAATAAATACTTTAAATTTTAATTAATCATGATAAATTTTATAGAATATGTAGATATGGACTAGTTTTCTTAGGATCTGAAAACAAAATCAAACTATCTTGATTGACTGACTCTTAAGTTATGGGAATAGAAACATTTTTTTGAATGCTTTGGTAGTAATATTGCAAATTGCAATGCATATTGTAATTGTATGTCATTCATTTCAAAACTCAAATAATTAAGAAAACAATAATGATTGTAAATTAGTGAAAATATTCATCACTCAATATGTCATAACAATTGTCATTAGATATTACTTAAAAATAAGCCGTGTTTTCAATATGTATTTGAATACGAATCGTAATAATTGTTTGCAATTAAAGTTCAATGAATAGTTTAATACGAGAAGTAAAATATTTTGAAAGTAAAGTTATGATAAACATTGACTTGTGTTCACTAATTATATGTTTAATACATAATAATTAAATGGTTTTAGTTTTCAATGTTTTAAAGTGTATTGAATTACTAAAACATATGAATCATTACTCGTCTCATAAATAGAAAACACGTTTTTCTCTCTTTTATTAGTTTGAAAAGTCGTTCACTCAATACAATGAACTCGTAATTCAGTATTTCATTATAAATGTCAATACATATGCATAGTATGAACGGGTGTTGACCGATGGCCAGTGCAGTGGGCGCTAACTGCGGGTCAAACACTTAATCAAACTTATTATTTCGTTATTAAATAATGTTTAAACGCAATATAATTTAAATATATTGTATAGCATTGCAAATATAGTACAGGAATCATAATGTTGAATGTTATAAAATATATGCAAATTAGACAATTCAAGTAATTTATTGCATGTTATTTGCATATATGACATCTCAATATACTGTACTGAGAATATACTATACATGTCTAACAATTTGAATGATAGACAGAAATATTAGTACAGTATTCGCAATCATTTGTTTCCTTTAATGCTAATAAATGGTTTGCTATTTACTATAGTTTGCAATGGTTAAGCCATTAGAGTAGACAAATGTTTAAATATATTGCTGGCAACTCAACATTACTAATTAAATATAGTTAATAGGATATGTGCAATGCTGGTCACTCTACTTTTTATACAATTTGCCACAATTAGAAAGTATTGAGATTAAAGGGAAGACAATTGAGGGCTAATTGAAAAGAGATGAAACAATACATACCGAATGGTATTATCAGAGCTGCCGCTCACCACAAGTCGGTCCCGATATTGAAGGCAAGCGATGCCTCGTTTGTGTCCATTAAGAGTCCGCACAAATTCACAGTTAGAAGTGTTCCAGACTTTAATGGTTCGGTCACCAGAAGCCGAAACAATGTACTTCTCGTCGAAGTCAACCACATTAACAGCCGCTCTGTGGCCGACCAGAACTCGCCGCAGGTTTATATCTGTTGGCGAAGTCATGTCCCAAACAGCGATGGACCTGTCCTTAGAACAGGTGACCATCATTCCGTTGTTGAACCGCAAGTGCAGCACAGCTTCGCAGTGATGTATCAAAGTGTTGACCATCTGTCCGGAACCCACTTCCCAGACACGAACCGTCGCATCACTCGAACCACTGATTATCACTCTTTCGTCGTACTGTAGACACAGTACAGAACCCGTGTGTCCGGTCAGGATCTGATCAACCAATCAATTCATTAATAACATGTCAAACAATGTGTGTAATAATTAAATAAAAGCATACCTTAGAGCACTGAAGTGTAGTCCTGTCCCATATCTTAATTGTATTATCTCTTAAACCACTAATGATTTTGTGGTCATCGTATTGTAGACAATAGACTCCTTTACTCGCTTCAGATCTACAATTAATGCGCTGAAGATTATGTCTTCCGGATCTCCAGTTGTTTTCAGTGCTTTCGATGTCTTGAATTATTTTAGGAAATAATCGCCGATAAAACATGTGATCGGGATGTTGTTCACCAGAGCTCGGCTTAAACAGGTATCGCACCCTATAATACATTGCAATCACTTATAAACTGATCCACTCTTCACACCATACAACTCATACCATCCTCTCCTGTGTGATAGTCCTCTCCACAGAGAATCGGTTCGGACTCTACTTTCGATGAGTTTCTTCCAAAGCATACCCTCAGAGATAACTCTATACCACTCTTTGCAGACCAGTTCTGCTGAACATAAAGACTTGGCGTCCAAATAGGAGAGCACAGTCTCCGCGACGTGATCTAACCCTTTCTCTGCACAACCATTACATGCATTAGTGATCAATGAGTGACCATTTGAGTGATAACTTACTCGGGAGTAACGAAATGAAATCTCTTTGAAGCATTGGTTTGAGATAACAATTGATTTGCGAGTGTTGGCAGTGAGACATCTTCGACAGCAAGAACTGGACAAAGTCTGTCTGATCCGATTCACACCACGAGTCAAAGTGCTTCATACAGTCCTCTTTGGTCTTCATATACACACCATTCGACTCTTCGCTCAGCTGTTCCTCCCGTGGCTTAAAGAGCGAAGTCATCGACAATACCTTTCAATCAATTAATTCATATATAAATCACTAGTTTTTGGGACAAAAAACATCTCAACAATGGGTCTAAAAATGAGTAAAAGTAGTGACAAATAGATTCATCTATTGATGACATAAAATGATGGTTAGATTGGCCTCAAGTGCTATCATATCGACAATAGGGAAGTGTTTGTGACAATTGGGGCGAAGAGTATAGGAGTGGACACGACCTCAGAGTCACAACAAATGGGTTAACGACTTGTCATTGAAAGGCATTTCTTACGGAAACGATTGGCTCGACGTTAGACTCGATGGCAGAGATTGTGTCCATTATTTGCTTCAATACTAAACTCTCATTCAAATTGTTTCAAACGAAACAATCAATTGATTTGATTTCAATCACAATTAAATGAGTAGTCATTCACTCATTCATAGCATGAATGCAATCGACAGTCAATTGAGTGCTATATTTGTGCCATATTTTCGTTAGACGTCACAAATGGGGGCCAATTCTCACAACACATACCAT